CAGGTCCACCATATATGATAATATGTAGCATCGAGAAAACCACAAATAGCTTCCTTAACCTTTGTATCGTCTGGGTTCATTGTTAACTCCAGCTCTTTTCTCTTAATTTCCTCTTCCAGTTCTGTTCATTTTAACCCTTGCTTATTTCTATGTGTTTTATTTATATTCATCAAAACTCCTCTCATATACGCTTTGCTTGCGTCCCATACAAATTCCATAGATGTACCCTTATTCATATTCAAAACAAAATATTCAGATAGTAATTTTTTACAATCATTAATATACTTTTCATATCTAAATAAGTTTTCATTCAATCTCCAAGACATTCTTGCCTGCACTACCCTTCCCAACTCCATCCAAACTCGGTTATGGTCCTACCAAACTAGGTAACATCATCAATGTTAGCAGGGAATGGGGCTTGCTCTCATTTGATATTCTAGTGGCTTGCCCTGTCAGTGTTGGTGAGTGTGGTCTTGGTAGTCCTTTGGTTGGACTATTTACTGTTAACTCGTTTGGCAGTCCCTTAAGGTATTGTTTGCTTCTTGATTGTAAATCTAATATTAATCTTAGTATTAATCTCTACTCATCTGGATGTTGATTGCTGGTAAGGAGGTGTTTTATTCCCTTTTTGGCTTGTTGATTGCCTCTTTTGAATGATATGTAGATGTTTATGTCTATGTGCCTGTTAATGGCTGATTTGTCAGCGTGCCAGGCTTCTAGGAATTCTCTAATGTTTTTGCACTTGGCTTGGTCTAGAGTAGTCACAGTTTCACAGTTCATAAATCATCTTCCTTTATTGGTTCTTGATATTTCAGTTGCTGTTTGACTGATCTACTGATTTATATCTTGTGCTATTTACCTAATTCATGACGTCCTGTCTTTGATTCCTCAGTCTCAATAAACTACTGGGTGATTTCTATTTCCTGTTTGCAATCAGTCTCAGATGGGAGGGACATTTTATTTTCTAAGATTGGAATTCTCTATTTGATCTCAGAGAAGAAATCATGTACACATGATTCCACTAATCCCAGGATATTTCCTAGATGCCATAAGACTGCAATTTATGATGTTGTTTCTTGTGTTTTTTCCATTTGAGACTGAGTTGCTGTAAATTATAGAAGGAAGAAATGGAAATGTACTGGAAAATAAAGTGAATGATAATATGAATGCTCTCATGGTTTTTAAGCTGATAAAATTCAGGGACTCGACCAGGCAATCATCAGGAGTCAACACTGACTTGAAGGTACAACAATAAATAAATAAAAAATTAAGCAGCACTGATGAAAAAAGCTCCTAAATTTCTTCCTTTCCACTGGTGAAGACCTCATATATGTCAATGCCTTTTCTGGCCCTAAAAGAATGGGAAGAATGAAATGTTTGTCCTCTCCTGTTACAGAAGTTTTGCAGTAAAAAAACCCTTGTCAAATTCTCTTTTAATTAATTTAATCATGGTTCATTGATCACAGCAGTCTTTGAACATACCTGCCTATTGTCTATTTTTATTGTTACTTACCTTCCCTACCAGTTCGCAAATGTGTGCTTGCTCCCTTCACTTGCATACACCTCATTTGCACATGCACATAACCTGTGAATGCACAGTGCTCACACATCAGGCTCTGGAGCGCCCACCCGCCTGCCCGTGCTCCTTACTGGTATTTGAGGTTTTTGGGGTTTCCACACACGGAGAGTATGGCTCCTGTGCGACACTCCACCGAGCAGCTGGAGCATTGTGGAGGTGTTGCGGAGCATCGCAGGTGGTAAGTACACATGTATGCACTGTGCATGTGTGCACACACGCTGTGCACATTCATGTGGTGGATGCCCGGCCCCATTGCACCTTACTGGTTGCAATGGGATCCAGAACCCACCACTGTCATGCACTGAGGTGAGGCAGGTGGGCAGAGCCTCCCGCAACTGCCACTATCGGTTCGCCTGAACCAGAGAGAACCAGCTGAATACCATCTTTGTATGGACCCCTATTTCAATGATCAGCTGTTGCATAGCATAACTATGTTCTGTGATGGTGCAAAAACCAGAATATAGGATGGGTTTAAAATTAAATTAACACCATATATCTGGTATGTCACCCGTGAGTAAGAGCAATACATATAGTCCTCAACATATGACACAATTTGCTTAATATTTCTGCTATTAAGCAATGTGGTTGTTAAGTGAGAAAAAGAGCACCCAATTTTATGCTCTTTTTGCCATGCTTAAGTGAATCACAGGGTGGTTAAGTAACTCTGGCTTCTTCCATTGAGTATGCTTGTTGGAAGCTGGCTTGGAAGGTTGCAAATGGAGATCACATGATACCTGGATATTAAATATGTAATAAATACATGCTAGATGCCTAGTGCCTGAATTTTAATCATGTGATTGTGTGGCTGTTGTGATGGTCAGAAATGTGAGGGATGGTTGAAAGCCACCTTTTCAGTGCTGTTGTAACTTCACTACACTAAGGGTTACCAGTCAACTGGTACATTTAAGAACTATCATCCTTTCAGTAAGTATATTTTTTGCTAATCCATTTTTTCAAGGGCAAAAGCATGCAGAACCTACTTCCAAATAGCGAAACCAACCATATATACTCATCACATAAATCTCAAAGTTTTTGATACAATGAGTAGCAATGTTTCCATGCTAAGTACATTTCATATGCCATCTCTAGATTTTTAAAAAAGCCTCAGTTGCCATGTTCCAGTCAGCCAAGTGGACTAAATTCATGGGCATGTGTTTGCTACCCAGTCCATCTTTATGAAGCCATTAGTCATTTAGGACTAAAATAAATTTTAGCAACAAAGCACAATCATGGCTGAATAAACTCTGTTACAATATTAGTCCTTGGAGATTGCCAAGGTTTTGTTTCCATATTTTGAGAAATTACTGGTGACATCTAAGGTCCACAATTGCATTTAAGCTTGATAACAGAAAGCTTAGTGCCTAGAAACCCTTTCTGGCTTTTTACTGAAAAAAGAGAAAGGTGAACTTGTAATTTATGGGTTTGAAGATTAGAAACAATAGTTTATGTAAAGAAGAAAATTATGAAAAAAAACCTAGAGAAAGGATAAAATATGAATGCATTTATAACCTCTGCGAAAAAGATTGGACACCTCTTATTTATGATCTTTTTATTTCCTATTTCTATTTCTTTTTTCCTATTTTCTTTTATATATAGTCACTATACTTTGTTAAATTCTGTTTCTTTTCCAATATTTCCATTCTTTTTATCCTATTAAAAATATATTCATACAAATTTATACTAATCTAATGAAGTTAAACTGTAGTTGATGGTGCTATAATTTAAAACATATTACTCTCATTTTCAGAAGTATTTATTATTATTTCATTGCTGTAAAATATATAATTGCTCCCATTTTAAAAATGATTGGTAGTACACCAGAACTTCATTTTTCAAGCTATACAGTTTTTACACTCTACATATTTATAGCAAACACTTTTTTCCCCTCAGCATCTTTCCTAACCATAAATAAGATGATTTACAAAGATTTAAGAAACTGTTTTTTAGTAGCAGTACAGGGTTTGATTTTTTTTTTTTTTTGCAGTTGGAAAGGTACATTAGATTAAGTAAACCATATTGTTTTGCCTCCATCGGTACATTTCAACAACTTTCAATATTTTAGGTTTTAAAAATACAGATGACATAATTTTCTCAACAGCTAGACCAAAAATAATAGTTTATAGCTTTCAGAGCCACAAATGTTACATTAAAATGGCTAGAAGAATTAATGTTATAAATTGATTTTAAATGAAGGTACTCAATGGATCAAGTGAGAGATGTACAATGTAGAAATATATATATATCTATACCGTGTGTGTGTGTGTGTGTGTGTGTGTGTGTGTGTGTGTGTGTGTGTAATCTTACAAGGTCTTGGCCTATATAAAATTTCAGAGGAATATTTGAAAACAATATTTGCTTTTCCTTATGTTTTAGAAAAACAAAGTATGAGAAAGAGAAATAATAGTTGTGATTTATATAATTATATTACATTATGTACCTGTACTTTCAAGTTCTTAAACCTTGAATCCATAGATTATTAATAGGTAGTATTAATAGACACACAAACCCAAATAACTTTTGCTTGATATCACAACATTTCAATATGGTAACTTCTATGGATACCCTTAATTTCCAGTTTATCTTATGAGAACCAAACAATCAACTTTTGATGTATGATTAGTGTAGAACAAATCAGCATGAGAATGTTTTTATTTATAATAAAACATCTTTCTAAGACTAAAACTGATTTCAAACTGATTGTCACAGCTAAAGTAGTAGCTCTTCTCTGCTGCAGACAAAATTCTTCGAGATGTATGCAGTGCCATTGCTGGAATCATATTTATATAAGACACAGAATTTTGAGTTGGTACCCCAAGAAGGGAAGACTGATTGGAAAATTTACATCAATAATATTATTTAGCTTCTAGATAATGAAGATAAATATACATTTTTTTCAAGTAGCTGGGGAAAATCAAAAGTGAAATAACTGCTTCCTTGATTACTCTGATCAGGAATTGAGAAAAAAGTACTTTGAAATATGGGCAGATGCTTCTTGGAAAAAAGATTTGTAAGAAAAGCAGTGTTATTACTACAAGAAGAAGGGAAATGGAAAACTGAGATAATATTGCTTGGCAATTCTAACACAAATCTTTAAATTAATGTATTTGCTTAATCTAATAGTAAATCAATTTGTCTACTGATATATGAGCCACATATACTGCTTTGGAGAGATGATTACTCTAATAATTATCTTTTTTAAAGGTATAATTACAGTTTGCCCAAATTCTTCAGCACAAGATCAGAAGATAACTGTTTTACAGAAAGGACACCTCTGTTGAAAGTTTCCACTAAAGGCAATGGGTAAGAGAGTTATTTTTTTTTAAATGTATCTTTCTTGATATTGAGCAGTAGTGGGATTTAATTTTTTTTACTGCTGGTTCTGTGGCGTGGCTTGGGCATGGCATGGTTTGGTTTGATGGGCATGGCAGGGGAAGGCTACTGTAAAATCTCCATTCCATTCCCACTCCAGGGGAAGTTACTGCAAAATCCCCATTTCCTCCCCATCAGCTGGGACTTGGGAGGCAGAGCATAGATGTGGGTAGGGCCAGTCAGAGGTGATGTTTACCGGTTCTCTGAACTACTCAAAATGTCCACTACCGGTTCTCTAGAACTGGTGAGAACCTGCTGAATACCACCTCTGATATTGAGCGCCAGAATATATTATTAATGGCTGAAGTCCTAAGTAATTTGAAGAGGGCTCATCCCTATGCTACTACTGGTATATCATAAATAACCTAAATGTTAGAGAAATAAACGTGAAGTATACTACTTCAAGTTTGTGAAGGAAAGTGAGTTATAAATTACCAGTAACTATCAACAAAGCATTGCTGAGATTCTTTCTTCTATAATAAGACAACTATAATAGAACCCCACATCTTATCAAAATATGGGGAGTTATGTTCTGGTCATGGAACTACAAGGACATTGATCAACAGTAAAAGTAAATAATCATTTTGGAAATATAGTTGTACTCTTTTATCTAGCTAAGATATATAAATTTCCTTGAAGCTATCCTTGGAAAGCAACTCTTCTTCCTTCTAAAATCTAGGATATTCTGAGATTACTTAGGAGGATTCCTGACCTAGAAATAATTTATTTAGCCATTTCCCCAAGGATGACATGGATGATTTCATGAGATAGACTCCTGGTTGACTGATAACAATTAATAGGCTCTAAATGGAGTTTTCTATAGACCAGTTGGTTGAGTGAACCCAACCTAACTCTCAATTCTAGGAAATATTGTAGCATATTGATTTTCAGTTTATTTTGCTATTTTGATATGTATCATTTTCTTTTTATAATGGCTTTTAATATGTTTGTACACTGCTCAGAATCATTGTGAATTGGATGGCCTTCCAAGGTGAATAAATACATAAAATAACTGATTACTTAAGCTTAGTAATGAGGTAGTGAAAAAACATCTCCCTGAAACCCCAGATGTGTAGAATATGTTGATTGTAAGTAGGCTAATGCTGAGGTTTCTCCTGTAATGGAAAAAGTCAGCATTGTTACTTATTGCAAAAGTATAAATAGCACATTAAGTTGTATTCCTCACAGGTTAAATAAATATCATGTTCACAAGCAGATATATTTTTTAAAAATTGGCATCCTTAATTTCTGCTGTTCTTCAGTAGCCTTAGCTCCCAATGGAACAAATTTGAGAAGATCAGACCATAATTTATATTGATAGTTGTCTCCATGATGTTTTACAGGTTAAGATGTACAGATGTTCATAATACAGATTTCATCACAGATGATGACTCTTGGGAAAACAGTTCTGCCGAATTTGAGCAGAGGTCTCAGCCAGGAAGTGAAATGACCAGCTTGTCAAGATCTGCTTCGTGCTCAGAAAAATGTGAAATATTGGACAATTTTCATGTCAAATTCAATTTATCCAAGATGAGGTATTATTTTGAGATTTTCTTCTTTTCAGCAAATAACTAAAGTAACACTCCTTTGCTAGAACTTGCTATTGATTCAAGCAGAACAATCCAATGAGGTAGATAATAGCATCTAGTCAGATTTATAGCCGTATTATAATATTACAATACTGGTATATAACCTCCTTTATCTCCCTACAAGGTACTTTATGTAAAGATATGACCTTTTTAAAGTTTAAGTAGGCTTTGGTTGCTGGAAGATTATTGTTTTTATTTCTGTTTAAGTGTTTTAAATTATGCTTTGACTTGTGTTCTCAGTTACATTAGTTTTTTAGAGAAAGATGTGTGATAAAGTAAACAAACAAATAATCCTAGCTATAAATTTAGAAATAAGTCCTACAAAGTTTAGTGTTTTTTCTCTCTCTCAACTCTGCTTAGGCCCCTATCGGCATTTGAAAGCATGATCTGATTTAAGGAATCTTTTTAATCTATGGAATCAGTAAAGTAAAAAAAAACACCCCTTTTTGCATACTATCTAACTGGTGACTAGTGGGGAAAAAGAGATAGATCTAGTGATTTCTGCATCACATGATCAACTAAAAATTCATATAGTGACAATTCTGTAACATGTACAAGTTTCAGTCATGTAGATATGGGATTTATTTCCTCTAACCTACTACCTGGCTACGAGGCACCACAAACACATATTTCCTGTTATGTTGGAAACTATTCAGAGATAGTTCTTACTGATTTTTTAAAAACTTGGAACAGAAAGATGTAACCTAATTAATTAGATAAAAAGAAAAGAAATAGATTTATGTTTTATTTCCAACTAGGTCCCAATACATTTTAAAACATGTTTGCCCTTGAAAAGCATTGGCAATAAAGTAACTGCACTTTATTTGTTTTCTATCATATACTGCAAAACTATGTGTATATGTGTATTCCAGATGATTTAGTGGATGTAGAATTCAAACAGATGTGGTTTTATTGTATGATTTCTTACATATATTCATGTGAAAAAGCATGTCTTATCATCAGTCAATTTTTGCTCTTATTTAGCAATCCACTTCTAAATTTTTAGAGCAGTTCTCCAATTCATAAAAGAAGACACATAATTTCATTTCCCATGGATATTTTGTGCCAAGGCTGCATTATCTTTCTTTGTGCACCAGTCTCTAACAATAGGTAGGGTTTTTGGAAAGAGTGCAGAAAAGAGCATTTGGGGGCTGGAGGCTAAAATGTGTGAAGAATGATTTCAGGATTGGGTATGTCTAGGCTAGTGAAAAGAAGAACTAGGGGTGACATGATAGCAGTGTTCCAACATGTGAAGGGCTGCAACAAAGAAGAGGGAGTCAAGCTATTCTTCAAAGCACCAGAAAGCAAGACAGGAAACAATGGATGGGAACTAATCAAGAACAGAAGCAACCTAGAACTAAGGACAAATTTCCTAACAATGAGAACAATTAACCAGTGGGATGGCTTGCCTTCAGAGGTTGTGGGTGCTCCATTACTGGAAGTTTTTAAAAAAAGATTGGACAGCCACCTGTCTGAAATTGTATAGGGCAGCGATCACCAACCCTTTGGACTTCAGGGACCACTAAATTCATAAGTTTAAATCCTGCTGACCACTAATATGATCTGCCTAATCACCAGCTGGGTGGGCGTGGCTAAGTGGTCATGTGACTGGGTGGGCATGGCCAATGATGTCACTCATGTCAAGGAGTGCCTCGCCAGCCTCTACTTGCCCCTCCCCTCCCAGCCCCTGCCCACCTGGGCTCCTTAGGGCTCCAACAGGAAGCAGTTGTTGCAGCTAAGCAGCCACCTTAAGAATGAGTTGGCCAAACAGCTGGCTCAGTTCAAATTGGATCTGACTGAGAAGGAGGTTCAGCAGAAGCACCTCACTGAGGACTACAAACATAGGCTTTCCAAGCAGAGGGAAGACCTGTGGGAGTGCAAGGCCAGGTACCGGCATCTGGAGGCTCAGCGGGCTGAGATGGTCAGCCAGTTCTAGGCCATCATGAAGTCCCACTAGAAAAAGGCCCTCCAGCTCTTTGCTACCAGCAGCAATTCCCTCCAGCGTTCACCTAAAGCTCCTCACCAGGAGCTAAAGCAGACCCCAAGTCAGAATCCCCCCCCTCTGATCTGCACAAAAAGACCCTGAAAGGGGGGACTCTCTGCAGCAACACAAATGTTCATTGCACGTATCTGGCCCAGGAGCCGTAGTTTGAGGACCCCTGACTTAGTGCAATATAAAAAATTCAAAAAATTTTCTGTGGACCATCAAAATTTTCTCATGGACTACCAGTGGTCCACAGACCACTAATTAGTGACTGCTGGTATAGGGTGTCCTGTTTGAGCAGGGGGTTGGACCTCTGAGGCCCCTTCCAACTCTGTTATTTCCTATTATGTTTTAATAATTCAGTCAATGATCATTTTATTTCTTAAAATCAATTACTTACTTAATCTCCCCCCCAGATGTGCTCTTACATGCACATACAATGCGCCTACCCAAAATATTAAAGACATAACAAAATACCATAGTTTTAAAAGGTTTTATTTCAGCAAAAATATAGCAAATGGCAATATATATTTCTTGCAGATCATTAACTATTTTGGTTCATTGCCTAGTGCAGCTATGCATCTAGGTTAGGGATGTGGAAATCATTAAATATCCTGTGAGCTTTGCTGTCATCCTAGCTCATAATATATTAAAGTGTTCTTAGGCAGAAGGGCACAACTACCGTTGTGTAAACTTGGCACTGTTTTATGAAGTAAGTCTTAGTGAGGCATGGCAATCTGTTCAGAAATTCACATTTCGCATAGTAGATTCTTTGAAGCAACCCATCCATATTTATACTCTTGAGACAATAACGGAATAAAAGAAGAATGTATTATTGTTGGTACTGATGTACTGACTAGTTGGAGCCAGAAAATACAGCAGCAAATATTCTCTGTTGTTAATTACTGTCACATACAACAGCTCAGCTGGCAGCAAGAAGATAGATATAAATTTCTAGAATCAGTATGAAATCATGCCTATTATTTTTCTTCTGCACTCTTCCTTCCTTCCTGACCTTCCCTGTTCTATTTTAATTATGAATATAGAAATACATTAAAAACTGCCCAGCTTTTCTTTGTTCTGTATCGTTGCTGTGTAAGCACAGCCCAATATAATTGCCCTGGTTATGCAGAACAGTTGGCAGCTAGTCCTGCATTGTATTCCTGGTGCTGCAGCAGGCACAGACTCTTGATAAATTGTTCCCTAAAATACTTTCATGCAGCCCTGTTGAATAAACATACTGGAGTTTCCAGACGCCGAGGAGGCCTAAATCTGCATAGTTACAGTGAAATAGCTGTGCTATGTGTGGTGCAGATCTGAAAAGAAAAAAAAAAACCTCAATTTTTTTTGGCAGTCATCAACACGATAGGCAAAAAATAATTGCAAATAAAGCAATACAATGAATTATAGGGTAGATATTTGGATTGCAATTGTTTATAAGACCAGTCTTCATTATAGCTAATTCAACTCATCAGAGCATTTATCTAATATGCTAAAGGATTACTAGTCAGTGAGAAAAATACTCTTAAGGGTTATAGTTTATTAACAAGTTCCTATCTCCTGATTACTTAGCTGAGTTTATTATTTTAAGGAAGTGCTTTTCTGGATATCTCAATGATTAATTTAACGTTTCCTGATTGTTATTGCTATTATGGACAGTCTTTTTCCTAGACATCATATTTTAAATTTAAATCTTTATTCAAAAGATTAAACTTGTCTTTGGTCTATGACTTTGTTGGTTGACAATGGAAATAAATAGACTTGACTTGTAACACATATAATTATATTTGTAAAATGAGTGCCTTAAATGTGTAAATTATAATTATAGTCATACATTCCGTTTTTCATAAAAACTATGCAAGTGATTTCCTATTTTTCCAGAATGTTTTTTTACTTCTCCTATCTAGTTCATAGCCCTGAATTCCCTGGTGGTCTCTCACCCAACTATTAACATTTTGCTTCTGAGGCAGACAAAGTTATGTAGAGGCATTGTCAACTGCTAAAACAAGACATGTCAGATATAATATATTGTATGTTATTACATGTAGCTAAGTATAGCTAAATTTCATTTTGTTTCAATTTTTCTAATCCTCAGTAAAAAGGACAAATGTAGACTGCATTGTATAGTCTACTGCTATTACCCTTAGGTACCCATGATATGGGAGGAAAACACGAGTTATTTAGCTAATTAGCAATTAGGTCAAGTGTCTCCAAGTGGCTTGCTCGGAGTTTTAAGGGGCCTCTTCCATAACGAGATGGACAGAGCTTAACCTATTTGCAAACACTTATCACTGTATGTTATGACCAATCATGCAACAGAAAATAGTGATGTTGAAAGAAAAGTAATTTGCTCAGAAAACTAATCCTATGATAGAAATGGAGTCAAGTTAAAAGAATACAAAGACACTTTCAGAATTAACAGTTTAGAGTTCTCAGTGTCTTTGTCACAGAAGGAAAACCGATAAATGCAGAGCTCAATAATATTGCCCCGAAATATTGTCAAGATAAATTAAATGTGTTCTGAACTTCCAATGATCAATTACTTGTTTGCCACTATAAAAACAAAACAAAGTACTTGTTTCTCACAAAACTGATATTCAGACAATACCACTTACAAAGGCAAAACACTAATTCACATCATACATACATCTATCGCTTCCCTGCCAGAAGCCTGAGCAAAACTCACATCACACATAAATCCAGACAAAATGTATATTGCATTAGACAGCTCTCCAAAATTCAGGGAAAATATAGCAAAAAGGCAGACAAACTCAGAATCATGTCCTACCCCAAGAAAACTAATGCACCCATAAAATCCAGGAGAAGCAATTCTATGTTCAGGAAAAAAGAACTGCATATAATCTGCCTCCTTTCTGTGGGCAAAATCTTCAGTACACCAAAATAGAGCATCAATTTAAAGCAACAAAATCACCATGGAAAAACCAAAGCCAAATACCACTTT